GGGGGGGGGGGGGGGGGGGGGGGGGGGGGGTCCAACTATAGTGCTTTCAGGGTCGCTTACGGAAGGCAGTCGAACATAGAGGTTCGACTATATAGGTAGCATCTATTCTGGGCCGGGGTTTCGCCAAGTGGCACAATGACGTTTTACAAGATACTCGACTCAAAGTCATTGACTGCTTGCCAAGAGACTACCTAACTAAAGTAACAAAGTTTGGAATTTTACTAGTATGTTCCATGATGACAAGGACTAGGGTACCTTTAATCGTCATAACCCATAGTTTAAAAGGAAACTGGCACAAATGGTTAGAATGCAAGAAAGTCTGATTTCCCTACTTAGCCTGATCGCCTAAATCTTATGCGCTAAGCAGTCCTGTCAGTCCTGTGTACGGTTGAGACCAAATAGGGTTGCTAGCTACTGTTTGTCTGGCCCTCATTCAAGTACATTAAGGTATAATCAACTGAGTTGGCCCAGCTGAGAGGGTGGAGTAGGAGATGGGACGTTGTCTCCCAGCTAGGCTTACTTAACACCTTTTCTCACAATGACGTGAAAGGGAGCTTACGCTAAGCCGTTAGCCTTGTCTTCTTCGACATCTCATTCAAACTTTCGCTAGTCCGGGCCAATAATAACCCCGAATTGCTGCTCAGTACAAAAAAGTAGGAGTCTGATTTTTAAAGGTAGACGGTCTTGTTCAATGTTTTTCTTTGATGGCGTGTGATAACGAATAACTGGATGTGGTGGTAACCACAGAAAACAGCCAACATTTCTCGACGCCACCACATATGACGTGTCTCTAACCAGATCTGGGTAGTGCTCCTTATTGCTTGAAGCAAATTTTCCTCGCGGCTCGACCAATGAAAAGTACTACTCAGATCTGGATAGTGACACGAGATCAGTATGGAATTTCTGCGCTCGTTCCTCAGACGTCACTTCGTGGGGAAACCAGTGGTGGCGTCACAAAATGTCGGCTGTTTTCTCAGGCTAACGTTCTGAACGTTGTTGTTGCTGAGGCGATATCACAGTCCCAAATAGACGACGGTGGACAGGTTGACAGCCGAAAAACGCCTCCGTATTTGAACACACTCATGGTGTGAGTACGCACCGCACAGTCTGAGCTACGCTAGGACACCCTTAGCTGCGGATGACACAGTCAGGGTAAACTGGAGAACACAATCCTTAAATGTACACTGTTCTCTCTGTGTTCCTCTAAGTGCGAGGTACACGATACTAATGACCCTTGCCAGGGCCATGGGCCCGACATGAGTCTGTTCATTGGCCAATAACCGATCAGCGTACTCTTGTCAATTTGTTGAGCGAGGTCAATTCTCTGTAAATACATGTTTTGACGCACTTCAGATTGGGTCAACGCGCATGACCAGATGCGGACTTCCCTTACCTAGATATTAAAAACCAAACGCACGGTTTTAAAGTTATTGCTAATAGTAATAAATTGGTGACCAAATCAACATGAAAACATGACAAATGCATTTTCCCTCTCTGTTATCAGATTTAGGCCATAATAATGCTAAAGGTTATTTTGTCAACATTTTGTGCAGACTGGGGCTCTCCATACAAAGACACAAAAAGTTCTATTACCTTTACTTAATTAAAAGCAAAAGCCCTGTGTGGTTTCACCATTTGAAAATGACCGACTCTCACAACTGAATACCATAGCTTTCGTTTAAGGTGGCACTCACAAATGGCTGGACAATATAAATCTTACCAGGCCATGAAAGGGATACCATCCACAATGCCCATGAGGCATGGCATCATCTCCCCAAGGTGTGCATACCCCATTGCTGATAACTCCATTACCAATCTGACTGTGCTTCATGTAATATCTGAGAGACAAATGGGTGGACTTCAGTTAATTTCTACTTCTAGACCAAGTATCCCTGATACGCTTCGCAGGAAATGAAAAAACAAAGTCCCCAACTCTGATTATAATACCCTACCCCAGACTAAACTACTTGGAGGCCCGCACTTACTTTAACTGAAAACCAAACAATGCCGCAATCAAATTTATAAAAACCGCAAACCGCCTCGTCCCATAAAAACATTCCCTCAAACTCTTTTGCGCCCTCTTTCATACTGATGCTTCGTATACGAAAGTTTCTCCAGGAGCAAAGTATGGACTGGGCAAAACACTAATAGTTTAGTATTTGTCACATGCCCATCCTCTTTTTTCCTGTGCTAAATGTTGTTGGATTAGTCTGCTAAGTAAACTTAATCAAACATAATAACGGTGAAGTTTATCGACATGGGATCATTTCACTACCTTGGTGAGATACTTTGTGTGGATGAACGACCCTGACAGCTTTGTCAGCTGGAGTATTTTACTTCAATGCTGAACAGTCGAAGAGTAGAGGTCAGATGAAGAGTAATCCCCTGTTCCTTCAGGCTGGCGTTAGGTGGTGGGCTAACAGATTGTTCCCACTGTTACTGTGCCCTATTACGGGGAAGCAGAGCAAAAAGATGACAACGTACGATCCAATCATCATGCGAAGGGAAGACGAATAATGCCTTAACTGTCGATGAAATTGCTGTCGCCAAAGGCCGTGTTCGTCACGAATCGGGACAATGTTGAAGGGGTTGGGGGTGGGGGGGAGTATGTCCAGGTGGTTAACGAAATAAAGAAACATGCAATCAGCATCCCTGAGGTGAGTGAAGTGAAATGGAACTCCTGTGGGAAGATGATGAAGGCCGTTGGAGAAACTGTGCTGTGCTCTGGACTGGATAAAGGTAAATGTCATGAGAGAGGGGTTAGTTAGTTTAGTTCTATCAAAAGATGATGTACAAAGTATATTAGAATGGGAGCTGGTGTCTGAGAGGACCATCAGAGCCAGGTCAACTCAAGGTGGTAGCAGGTCACGGTCAAACAGTGTCATGCCCCTACAAACGATGCAACGAAGGAGGCAAAGTACGACTTTTATGAAGTGTTGTAGGCAGTGTCTGAGCAGGGGCTACGCAGAGATAATAAGATTGTAATGGGAGACATGAATGCTAAGCTTGGCGTGGGCACCAACGGCAGACAGAAGTTGATAGTTAGACATGAAGTAAGGGCTAAAATGAACGGAAATGGTGAGAGGTGGGCTGATTTTTTTCAAGTTGATGAGGTAGTAACAGGTGGAACAAAGTGCCGGCAAAGGAATTGTCACAAGAGGACATGGATTTCACCAGGTGGTAAAACTGAACATCAGCTAGATATGACCTGGAGCTCACCGGAGAATATTCGCGTCATGTGTAGTTTTGATGTTGGGTCATTTCACTGCCTCTTGATGGCAAAGGTGCGGACATAGTTTGCCAAAATAAAAAGGGGTGCTGAGGGTACCAGGCTAAGGGTCATCTTAAAAACAAAAGACCCGTTTAAGCTGACGCTGCAAAATAGATTCGAGTGTCTGCAACATTATGAAGAAGAACCTTTAGTGGATGACAAGTGGAGACAGATCAAAAAAGGATACCTGGAGGCATGCGAAGAGGTGCTGGGGAATGCGCAATCTAACAGAAAGCAGTGAGTCAATATAAACGAGATCTGGTAGATTGAGTACCGAAAGGAAGCAAAAAATGCTGCAAACATTGTATTTGCTAAGACAAGTACTCAGGAGAATAGCGAGTCCCAAAAACTAGGCAAAGAGAAAATGTAAAAAAGACAAGAGGGTATATGTAGAGTCAGAGGTAGAGCAAGCTGAGGAGGATGGAAGGAGGAGTGACGTGAAGCCTTTGACGGAGATTAACAGGAGGTTTGAGTGGAAGATTCTAGACCACTTTTAATCCAGTGAGAAATTAAGTGGGAGTATTGCTCAATACATGATAGACGAAGAGCTAGGAAGCGATTCATCAAAATATGTTATAAAGAAGCTTAAGAACGAGAATGCAGCAGGCTGTAACAATATGAAACCAGAGGAAAGGGAGAGTGGTTCTCTTAGATCTTTGTAACCAGATATGGCACCAGGAGAAGGTGCTGGATGAAGGGAGGAAGGGTTTGTTAATCACTCCGCCAAAGAAAGGTGAACTGAGCCACTGTTAAACTAGCATGGTAGACAAGAAGCTGAGTGTGCAGCGAGCGGGTTCTTGAGATGATCAGAACTGTATGGACCAGATAGCAACATAATTTAAGAATTACTGTAGAACAAAATATCGTGTGGCAGTCCTCTTTATACATCAACTTAATAGACTTCGAAGGGCCATTGACAGTGTCAGCAGAGCGGTGTTGTGACTCTGAAGCCGTGGCAGTAAGGAATTCAAGCCGAGATAGTCACCATTATTAGAGCTCTCTGTGAACGTTTTTCCATGTATGTTGTGCATAGTTGTCCGTCAGAGGTTAACAGAGATGAGCATGAGAACGGGGGTCAGACAATGTTGGCTGCTGTCATCCAATCTGACCACTCTCGATTGGGTAAGAATGGCCTTTCTAAGGAGGGGTGCTATCCAATGGCCCATCATGGCAACCTTAGAAGACCTGGGTTTTGTTGATTATCTTGCCTTGTTGTCGGAGAGAAAAAAGGTAACAAGGATAAGACACAGGCATTTAAGGGTGGCCTGAAGATCATTCCCACAAAGACAAACCTAATGCGTGCCAGTACCAAACTGGGTGATGGCGATATGGTGCTCCATGTCACTAACTTGAGAGTCTCTATGTTAAATGTGAATGCTGTGCTCTTGGAGTCTTACCAAAGAACTGAAGTAGAAAATGCCTGTGTTCATTAACAAGTGCCGTAAGGGGCACAATGTGGATGCGGTGGCCCAGAAGAACCCCAAATGAAGAGCTGTGGAAGCAGGCAGTACAGAAGCCGATAGAGGAGGAGACAAAAGGATGAACATGGAGATGGATTGGCCACAAACTGAGGAGATAAGACAGAACAGTGTCCATGACAGCTCTTAACTGTGAACTGCAGGGGAAGTGTAATAGAGGGAGACCTCGAAACTCTTGAAAGTACATAAGGATGTTAGAACTTGAGGAAAGAGGATTTACATGATGAGGCAAAGCACTAAAATGTTGTGGATGAGAGGACAACAGATTGTCCTCTTTACATCCCCTGTTAAACATACGCTCGGATACCAGCATATAAGGCCACTACTGGCAGCCACTATCGGTCCATTTATAAGCTTACTGTAACTCACCCTGTCCATGATATGAATGAAGTGTGTAAGGTAAAAACACACCACTGGGGATACATCCCCTGCTATTTCCAAACAGTAGTGTGGGTTCTTTTACATCCCTTTCAAATTGTGACCAGTGAAAAAAGGATGAAGGAGAGAAGGCCAATGGCTAAATATCACCGCCCAATGACATGATCATCTCAACTGAGACATGTTCTTAGATCACAGCCACCATGATCTTACCAGTTTTTGAAAGACCCTGGTTGTTGGTCTGGCCAGTGTTTGAACTCACAACCTCCTGTTCGGTAGTCAGGCACTCTCGCAACTGAGCTTACCGGGGAGCAGTAAGAGGACACCTTCAGTTCTTTCAGAAGTGCAGATGATGGACGATGATGAAGATGATGAAAATGAAGGCAGAATAAGTGCCTCAATGTCGCACTCAAATCAGTATCTCTATATGTCAAAAGACCCAAAATAACCCCATAAGACCAAGTAAAGACAAAAAAATAAGGCATTGTTATAAATGTTTGTAACTGTTTTTTAGCCACAGCAAAACTACCTTGGCTTAGTCTTAGCTTAGTCATAATCATAATGAACATTGTTAATAGACACACCTGTGAAGTCCACGTCCAATTCCAACATTTATAGAGCATGCAACATGTCCATCAACAAACATGAACTGCCGATCAGGAGATGCTGATAATGCAACATGATGCCACAGTCCATCATTAATGCAAGGCCCTTTCATGACCTTATAAGGTTCTAAGGAGCCTCTAATGCAGCCATCAGGGCCTACATGGAGTATCTGCCAATGATACTGAGGCCACCTGCTAGAGCTTAACAATAATACAACAAAGCAAACTGTTTTCAACAAAGAAATAACAAAAATTGCCAGGTGCATATTAGCTCATATTTGTCTAATAATAAACAGATTTTAACTTCCCAAACTACACACAATTTTAAGCTAACGGCAAAATTTTCATGTACTTGTGTTAATTCTGACTGTAACCTTTTAATTTTAGCACATGCAGGAGACTCAGGAGAGGGGCATCAAGATCTGGTGTTTGTGGACAAACTAAAAGACATTTTTGTAATTGGTTTTTCCCATTTTCAAAAAAAAAAAACTTTGGCTTTTCACTTTTGAGCCTTTTGCAGTATTCTTTTTTCACATTAGCTTTCAGTTTCCAACCAACACCAATGCAATTATTGGGATTTGAAAAGAAGAATTATTTTGGTCTTTTTGTGTGGTTTGCAGAGCTAACCTATCTTTTTCACAAAATTGGATGATTTTATTTTTTCCTAGTTTTCTGGGTTCCAATAGGCCCCAATAACACCTCTCTAAGTGATACGAATCGACAAACAACCATTAAGCTTCCTCCATGGAAAGTAAGATAAACACCCTTGTTAGTGTTATAGGGGATTGCCTCCTTCCAATGATAGCTCCTCATTGAATTGGAGACTTGTGTCTCAAATCTTATTCTCACTCGTATGGTTGCACCTTATAGTCCACATGCTCGCTTTTCTTTGTTTTTCTTCTACAAGTGGTTGGTAGTGATAATCAGTCCAATATGTGGTAATTTTTTCTGAATATGGTTCATAGGAGTACCTTAATAAGGAAACTAAACCAATTGAAACTAAATGAATTTTTACAGGATTGCTCAAGAATAGTATAGAAGTGTCATAAAACACGACTTAAACACTAACATTATGCTTACGCTTCAGTGATGTCAGATTCTGTAGTTGCTCTATTTTAAATTTAACATAGGGAAAATGTGGATGATCACAGAGCTACTCAGGGCTATACCTTACTGATTCGCTCTGGCATCCTATAATGATTCCATCAGGTTTCTTCTTATTTAGCTTTACCCACATTTCTACGCTCTGTTTCACTGGGGCCCGGTCATCAAATCGAATGCCATTAACCCTAGTTGCACTGGGGTTTACCACAAACTCAGCACACAATCTTTCTCCAGCAAGACTTGAGAAACCCCTGTGGTGCCTATTTCCAAATGACATAGCATGACTTGCCTTTAGATAAAGCTTTTTCCAGATACCCGGTTCATCTTCTAAAACTTCATTGTTGTCACTACTGCTGCTAGCGATATAAGCACGATTGACGGTATATGATGAAGAAGTTCGAGGGAGGAGCAAAAGATGGCGATTGTCAGCTTTAAGACGCCTTCGCCAAATAATGTTTTCGTTTGTTAATTCGTAGAGCCTTTTACATGTAGATCCTAGATGGAGAATATCTTGAACAGCTGTTAGGTATGAAATCGCATGGAACCAAATTTCCTCTGGAAGATCGCAAGAACCATTTTCGTTTTTTGCTGCCATGTTATGTTTATCGTGCCTCGTCCTGATGTTCGAGTGCCAGAGGGAATTACTAGATCCAGTCTCTTCTCTGATCTTTCAAAGACAGGAAATTTCAACAATTGGCCAGTTTATATGAAAACAGATAAATATTTTGAGCACTTGTTTCACTTTTAAGATTGAAAACGAACTGCACTTAAATGATAACAAGCTAAAGCATGTTAAAAGCTTTCTCTAAACATTGAATCATAAGACTCCTCTGTTCATATAAGAAAGGGGGGAAAGGTTTAAATTATAAGGTTTCTTTCCTTTTCCCCTTTTTTTCAGAATCCAGTTACCCGGAAATCAATCCTCTATTTTCTTTTCATCACGAGCGCTTTTGATGAGGTTAAATCATTAGCAACACAACCTTGAAAACTGAATGTTTCATTGCAGCTAGTATTTCCACATCTCATCTCCCTTTTAGCACTGCTTAGCTAAAGTTAGCTAGCCTGCAAACATAAACATGAACAAGCTCTCCTATTTGGGCAAGCGAAGCGAGCCTTGCTAGAACGCGCGAGCGAGGGGCCTTTCCTCGGCCCCTTGCTCGCGCGTTCTCGCGAGACTCGTTTCACTCGGAGAGCCTGCTCGCAGGCTACTGCTTAGCGCACTTGACGGCACACTTGACTGCGTACATTCTCACCTGATTACATGTTTTTTGTGCAAAAACTTCGTTTGACACCTTTTTAATCGCATTATTTATTATCGTCTCTCTCTCTAACGACTTGATAAATGCAAGTGGCCCTACAGTTAGAAAACATGAGATTTTTATGTCACCTAGACTAAGCCTCACTCGCTTTGATTGGCTACAATGTAAAACGGTTATTTCATTCGTCCCCCGGGCAAGTAGGTCACATAACTTTGATGATGTTTCGATCTCTTTTTTTGCTTGTCCGTTACCATACACAGAACCGGAAGATGTGAAAATTGCGAAGGTACTACACTTCCGGTATGCGATTGATTGACACCTTCAAGAAGCTCCAAAACGGCCCCTACAATGGCGGCGCACATGAGACCTTTCGCGCTAATGTTTGTTTTTGTTTCTTTGACCTTGTACTGAGGTCAGCCATTAACGTTTAGTGAACCGGCTAATCATTTTGTTCCTCGTGGTGTTCAACTACCTGATTTACGTGTGAACTACAACTTGTGATTGCATACAGCAACACTATCAACCTCCGCCATCGCTGGCGTGAACGTCAGATTGGAGATGGTAATCGCTGGAGATTTTAGCGGGAGATTGCTGAATTGACAGCCACTTTGACAAACTGATTGAGATATGATGTAAACATATTAACTTCTATGCTCTGACAGTTTTTGTTAACTCATTATCGTGATTTGAAACGGTGGAGTGCAGACTATTCATTAATTCACGTTTGGCCGTCAGGTGAAGTGTTTGAAAATCAAGCTCAAACTTATTTCAAGGAAAGTTCAGGATCTTTGTAACGAAAGATATAACAGTATTTGGAGGTTATAGTTATCTCTGTAACTTGGGCAATTTGCTGGCCGTAAGCTCCTTGAACTTTCACAAAAGTTACTACGATTAATTGAGCTCAGCATGAATATTAACGGTGCCGGCGTACAAGTTCAAGCTGTAAACCCTACGCGACACGAGAAGGCAAAGTCTGCGGGCGATCTTCCAATTCCCTTTACAGAAACAGATGATTTGGACGCCAGAGATGAACTAAGAGAACGGGAGCTAGAAGAAGCTCGAGCAAGAGCTAGCCAAATGGAAAAGACAATGCGATGGTGGTCGGATTGCACCGCAAACTGGCGAGAAAAATGGGGTAAAGTTCGCGCCGAGAGAAATAAAGCAAGGGAGGAAAATCGACAACTCAAACTCAAGCTTGAGGCCGCCGCGAAAGAAATCTCAAATTTGAAACGAGAGAGGCTGGCAGCTCAAGAAACTCAGACGAAACTTGAGAAAGAAGTTGAAAAGCTGGAAAGGGANGCCATCGCTGGCGTGAACGTCAGATTGGAGATGGTAATCGCTGGAGATTTTAGCGGGAGATTGCTGAATTGACAGCCACTTTGACAAACTGATTGAGATATGATGTAAACATATTAACTTCTATGCTCTGACAGTTTTTGTTAACTCATTATCGTGATTTGAAACGGTGGAGTGCAGACTATTCATTAATTCACGTTTGGCCGTCAGGTGAAGTGTTTGAAAATCAAGCTCAAACTTATTTCAAGGAAAGTTCAGGATCTTTGTAACGAAAGATATAACAGTATTTGGAGGTTATAGTTATCTCTGTAACTTGGGCAATTTGCTGGCCGTAAGCTCCTTGAACTTTCACAAAAGTTACTACGATTAATTGAGCTCAGCATGAATATTAACGGTGCCGGCGTACAAGTTCAAGCTGTAAACCCTACGCGACACGAGAAGGCAAAGTCTGCGGGCGATCTTCCAATTCCCTTTACAGAAACAGATGATTTGGACGCCAGAGATGAACTAAGAGAACGGGAGCTAGAAGAAGCTCGAGCAAGAGCTAGCCAAATGGAAAAGACAATGCGATGGTGGTCGGATTGCACCGCAAACTGGCGAGAAAAATGGGGTAAAGTTCGCGCCGAGAGAAATAAAGCAAGGGAGGAAAATCGACAACTCAAACTCAAGCTTGAGGCCGCCGCGAAAGAAATCTCAAATTTGAAACGAGAGAGGCTGGCAGCTCAAGAAACTCAGACGAAACTTGAGAAAGAAGTTGAAAAGCTGGAAAGGGAACTGAAAAAGGACAGACGACTGATTCCTTCGGCTCGAGTCGAACCTTCACTCAAAGAAGAATCGTCAGATTTTGTTGACAGAAGTGAGCAGACTAAGAATTCTAGTGTTTATGAAGCTACGGTGCCCAAATTAGGGGCAGAGAAACAATTTATTGAACAAATACTACAAAAGAATGAGCTTTATGAAAGTAAAGTGGACGATACAGGCTTTGATCGTGAAAGAAGTTTTTCTGTTCCAGCAGAAGAACGCAAAAGGAGCCGACAAAGTGCTAGAAAACAAAAATCATACGACGAAAACTTGAACGTGGAGAGCTCTCAACAATTTACAGTTATGCGAATGAAACTGGAACAAACGGAGAAACTGTTGACAGCGGAAAGAAGGTGAGGAATCCGGTGCTCGCATTTTTAAACACTCAAAAAAAAGTATTGTAACAGGAAATCGTAAGTTCAGACACCCTTTGGTGTAATTTGCATATATCTATGTACATGCAAAGTAATTTGTTGAACGTACAAAATACCCGGTATATACCTCTTGCATTATTACCATTCACAGGACTTGGTTTTCTGAAAACAGGCATAGTTTACTAGAAGAAACAAATATATTCAGTTTTCAAAAGGACGTAACAAGCATTTTTGCTTGAATCTGTTTGCTGATTAACTGAAAGATGACTGAAATTCCAAGAATTTTTTACTCCCATATGGAATGCCTGAAAATTTCTTGGTTTGAAGATAAGCAAGCAGGGTGTCATTTTGTCATTAAAATTAACCAAGAGGTTATTTTGTAACTTTAGCCATAAATCTGTCATCTAGTAGTGTAAATTTCCCAGGAGCATGTTATGTGATTATTTTTTGTGTTCACTCTTCTCTGTGATGACAATTAAGTCAGGTTGGTTGACAAGTGTTTAACCTTTTCTGCAATCTTTTTCACACGAAACACCCTTAAAGACCCTGTGTGGTGACTGCAAGGGTCTTTGTAATGCGCATGCATGTGGCACCTTTTAGCTTTGTTGAATTAATGATATAAACAGTACTTTTGAAGGGCAAAAAATCTTCTTTTGCTTTAGCTGTTGGGAATGATTCCATGACATGGATCCAAATACATGTTGAAAAAACACGCAATCTTGACTTGATGATCATTGAAAAATTTGCCCTCACAACCAAATGCGCCTCGCATTATTTACCAGCATTTTATTTTAAGTTAGCTCCTGCAGTGGTTTTGAGCATGCACTGTGTTTAAATTTCAGTGCCTTTCATGTTTTTTTTCTCAGTACAAAGCAGAATCTTTTGTCGGAGTTGGATGGCATCCAGTCTGATTTCACTGCTTTGAAGCTGAAAAATGAGGAGCTTAAGGTTTCATATCAAGATGCTTCTCAAGAGGTTTGTCAGACATAAATTCTATCCAGAAATCTGTGCCCATAGCTTGAAGTCCTTATAGTCTGATCTAACCTGTGATCATATCCTCCCTATATCTCTTCTTGGGAATGAGGACGGTGATGGCAGCAAAAACGTCTTGTAAAAAGTGAATTTACCTTCTTTCAATCTTCATTGCAATAAAATTATTCCAACTCACTTACTTTGTCAAACAAAGGCAAACTCTCCTGGAACTGTATTCC